GGCTTGAACACAAATGTTTACAGTAGCTGTATCCCTAGGCCTTATGCACCCAAACTGAATACAACATGGATGTCCATTAACAATGATGGATAAACAAATTGTGAAATATTCATACAATGAAATCCTACTCAGCAATAAAAAGGAATGAACTATTGATCAGACAACATCGATGGATTTCAAAACATTATACTGAGCAAAAGAAGCCAGACACAAAAGAGTACACATGTATGATTCCATTTACATGAAACTCTAGAAAAGACTAATCTTTAGGGACAGAAGCAAATCAGTGGATGTCTGGTGTGAATGTGTATATGGAAGACTGAATGGGAAGGGACACAACAGGAACTGTTTTGGGTGATGGAAATGTTCTGTACCTTAATTGTGGTAGTGGTGACATGGGTATATACATTTTTCAAATCTTATAGAACTGTACACTTAAAATGCATTTTATTTTACATAAAATATATGTACAATTTTGTACATAAATTATACCTTAATAAAGTTGACTTAAATGAAAAAAAAATTGAATTAGTGAAACATTTTTTTTTTTTTTTTTTTTGAGACAGAGTCTCACTCTTTTGCCCAGGCTAGAGTGAGTGCCGTGGCGTCAGCCTAGCTCACAGCAACCTCAAACTCCTGGGCTCAAGTGATCCTTCTGCCTCAGCCTCCTGAGTTAGTTGGGATTACAGGCATGCACCACCATGCCCGGCTAATTTTTTCTATATATTTTTAGTTGTCTGATTAATTTCTTTCTATTTTTAGTAGAGACGGGGTCTTGCTCTTGCTCAGGCTGGTCTCGAACTCCTGAGCTCAAATGAGCCACCCGCCTCGTTCTCCCAGAGTGCTAGGATTACAGGCGTGAGCCACTGCGCCCGGCCTGAATTAGTGAAACGTTTACATTTTTTTTCCTCTCAAAATATTCCTTCCTTTTGGATTTCCACAGGCAACTCCACAAATCAAAATAGCTGTGTGACACTGGACAAGCAAGTTCCTCCATCAGTCAAATCAATTAATTAGATGATTTAATTCATTCATTCGATAAACACTTATTAAAGCCTTCTATGGGGGCAAGCATTATGCTAGGTTCCAGAGATATAAAGCTGAAAAAAGAAACCAATTATGTTCTCAGGGAGACACAGTCTAGTAGAAGAGAAAGACAAGCTAACATATGACTATAATACAGCTTATGTTTATTTAGGGTTTGAGGTGGATTGATGAGAGAGTCTTCCCTGATGATGCAATACCTGAGTTGGGTTTTGAGGTACAAGTAAGAGGCAAAGAGGGAAGAGAAGGCATTCTAAGCAGAGTGAGCTGTATGGGCAAAGGACTAAAGGCAAAAGATGTACCTCGTGTTAGGTACTTCAGGTAGTTTAGTAGGTCTGGAACATAAGAATTCATCCTTGTAAGGTCATGGTTGTGTCTTGGTTGGAAGAAGTCAAAAAATACTACTCTAGTTGAGCAGTGTGTAGACAGGGGTTCTGTACCCAATAATGACACCCCTATTATAGTGGATCACCTAAAAGGAAAATAAGTACCATCAGTTGGGATCCTTTCAGTTGCAAAGAAAACCTTTTAGGTCATGTAACAAAATGGTCCAGGGGGAGACTGGTGGAGTGTGATCTGGGGAGCAGCAAGGACAAAAGAGCAGCCTTTCACTCTCTCCATTCCTAGGCTGCAGCAGGTACAGACCCTACAGCCTTTCTTTTTCATATCCAGCTTCCCTGAAAGATTAAACCAAAGCTTAGCAATCAAGTATCATCAGCTCTCACTGGTCTTAGATTTTGCATATATTCTGAAGCAACCCCTGTGGCCAGAGGCATAGTACCTGGTGACTGCCTGGCCAGGACCTAGAGGTGCTGAGGGTAGAAGTCAGCCTCCCCTGAAGCACATGGGGGAGGGGTAATCTGCAAATAAAAATCAGAGCCTTTGTGGAAGAAGGAAGACTAGATATAAAGGAGGAATTACATTTTAAGAAAAACAAATCCCAACAATTTCTGAACAAGTCAGGAGATACAAACGCATACGAACAAATTTCTTCTTCTATCTTCCACATCCAGGATGAAACAATGAAAATTACCTTGAGAATAAAGTGACATAATGAGAACACATATACAAAAAACTATCACTCAATACTACAAGGACCATAAGAATGGATGACCAGTTTTATGAGAAGAAGGAGAAAGAGGAATCATTAATTCTAATTTATAGGCTCCATGGTGTCTTCACAACTGAAAGGATTTTTGAGTGGGGCCTTGAAAAATAGAGAAGATCCTTCTGGTAGAGACAAAATGAATCTCCACAGCTGGTTGAGGCTTAGTATAGAACCTGGTGAGGCTGAAGTGTAGGATGATGGATCAGTGTGGGAGCACAGGAATTGACAGACCAAGCTGTGAAGAATTTTTCCCGCTATGCTGAGGAGCCTGGCCTTCACCTTTTAAGCAATGGGGAGTTGTTGAATTTTTTAAGCATAGAGCTGACACAATCAAATTTGCATTTAGAGAACTATAGGAATAGACTAGATACAAGAAGACTTGAGGCAAGAAGAAAGGACATAAGTATGAGGAGGTAAAGCTAAATTTTGAAATAGAAGGCTGATGGCCTCTATTTTCCCTGTGAAATAGCAGGAGAGAACACATGCTGAGTGTGAGGGGGTGTTACGCAGTTAGGACAAGCTGGAAACTTCAATTAGCCAGAACACTGCATTACCAAAACATTCTGATCAAAAAGATCACTTAGTTACTGAGTAATATAATATAATATAAAGTCATAAAATATTATATTAGTGGGTGAACTGAAATCCAGAAGAGCCAAATACAATTTCCCTATTATTTCACCATCAATGCCAATGGCCATAGGTAGAATAATGATGTGAGTATCACTGGTCATTCAGATCCTTATGATCCCTGGCAGAGCAGATGTGAAGGGGGTGTCAGGGGTTGGTCGGAGATGGCATAGAAGGATGCAGGAGGAAGGAAGCCAAGCGAGGGGGTATGGGCAGGTGTGGTTAAAGATAGAGTGTGCGAGGCAGCCCGACTGCTAGATGCAGTATTTCAACAAGCAGCCAAGACCAGCACATGGCAGAGAGGGGTCTGTGGTGGCAGCACAGTGTGTGGCAGGTTTGACTTTGGGATTTAGATTCAGAACTACTGCCTAGAGCCACCTATTCGAAATGAAAGGATCTGTTATGCCATGGTCCCTTCAATTTTTATAGACATAGTGTTATCAGCTAAAATGATATAAATGCTAATGAAGCTGAGCATTCTTCATATATTATCTTCTGCCATTTGACCTTAAAATGTCATATACAAAATTAATTACCAACAATATCTTATATTTGCTTGGTGCTTTGCAGTTTAAAAAATCACTTTCAAATACAGTATTTTCTCATTTTGGTCCTACACAACCCTGTAAGGTAAACAAAGCAGATACAATAATTTCCTACAGTCTGTTGCCCTCTCCCCACCAAATTACAGATAAAAGAGATTAAATTATCTAGAGATATATATTAATAGCTAGGACCAGAATTTCCAAGACTAGAGTACTAGATCACTACATTGCCCCTTTTTAAAAAGCTTATGAATATTCTCCAAAAGAAGCCAAAGACGGCCATATCTCTACACATTTGACCCTAAGCATTTAAAACTCACTCTCTTCCTAGTATGTCTGCATTTTCTCAGAGTTGGGGGAGGAGGGAGACAATAGCCATGAGTGTGTGTGTGTATCCTCTTAATTAACATACATTTATACACATAAAATGGCAAAGCATATGATTATAACCGTATCACCTTCAAAAGCAATAAAATGGGGCTTATTAAGACTCAATCACAGAATAAATCATTATTTAGTCCCTGGTAGGTCAATAAGTACCTGATGAATAATAAAAGTATATAATATTGATTTTCAAATTAATAAACTAGTTATAGCAAACTCCACCCCTCTTGAAGTCTTATGCTAAACCTCACACTTTTCTTAATATATACCATTAAAGTAAAAGACTGATGAAATACATTTGGATAAAACTTAATAAAATTGTAGACAGTCAATAAGAGTACCAATCTATTGATTTAGAGTTTTAGTAAAGTGATCAGCATCTTGAATTTGAATCTAAAATCAAAGGACAATGGTTTTTGGCCTTTTTTATGTACTATATTCTATATTACAGAAATGGTAGGTCTTTAGGAAGTGATATAAAATAAGACCCTCACTTATACTAAAGAGCAATATAAGATTGATGCCTTGAATAACATCTTCAGTTCTAGAATGAATGTCCATTGCCTACTTCTAGTCTCTCTCAGTGCTCTCCCCAGAAGTAAATCTTGTGAAACCAAGCTTCAGCGAAAGTAGATGTGGTCTTGACTTCATTCCCTTCACTCCTTTGGGTGTCCTCTTTGTGTATTTGCAAAATAACAGAATCTGGCAACAGGCCTCAGCAATGTCAAGCCTTCTAAGCAAGAGGTAGAAGGTTGAGAAGTGAGATGGCATCACCCCATAATTTTATGACTTTCAGGGAGTGAAGAATAAAATATTTTCAGATGGAGACAACTGTATTTGATTTCCCCAGTAGAAACGTTTAAAGTGAGAAATAAAATGGAGAGGGATGTAAAAAATCTCTGGGGAGTGAAAAGTTGCTAAAAACACCAAAGTACATTTGAATTTCTTCTTAAAAGCATTATCTTTTTCAAATCCTCTTACAACCCATGCCCCCCCGTCTCTGAGTGAAGAGCAATTTATAAGACAAAAACAATACATTATCTAGAGGAAAATTTATAAACCAACGTTAAAGAATTGTGCAAGAATTTACATTACCTCTTGAAGTTTATTACAGTATCTTTAGTTCTTATTGCATATATTGTTACATGCCTTTTACAAGTCAGGATTATATATATAGTATGCTCAATTTAGCAGAAGTTATGTTTATTGCTTCTTTCTTGAAAATCAGCAGCATGCAATGCAATATTTGGTGTGAAGTTATTTTTTCAAAAAGTGAAAAAGTACTTAGGTTTAACTGAGGAGGGAACATGATCTTTATTGGCTTATATGCAAAGTTTAATTTTGGTTTTATGCAGAGTTTGCATAGTTCATGATTAGTTTCTAATGAAAAACTAGATTTGTTGTCAGTGACCTTGAAGAAGATCAAGTGACAGTAGCAAACAGAAAAATCTGAAGAAGAGGCATAACTTTTAAAGTAGAAAGGTCAGCAAGAACTGCCTGAAACAAAAAACAAAAAGAATTATTAATAGCAAAGTGAAGTCTATGAAATATGGTACAACAGAAACACCATCATAATGTAATTTTGGCATCAACACATACTCTAGGTTCTTAGGATTTGTCCTAAATCTTTGTACTAAAGTTCTAACTTTCCTTCATTTTTCTGAATATATTAATGTTAGTACATGCACAAAATGCTAAAACGTGCAGTAAAAAATAACCTGGACTTTAGCCTTGAGCCTTCTTCAAATATACAAGGTAGCATGAGTTTATAAGAGGTCTAACATTTCAACTTGCTTCTATAAATAAACGTACATTATGAATCCTAGTCCCGTTATTCTAGTGTAAGGAGTAACTGCAGGAAATAATTTTGAGATGGAACTAATGTTTATTCAGTTGCAAGATGCATAAACATCCTCTTCCCTTTAAACAAAGAATGTAGGCAGCTATTTTAAGGATAAAATTTACATTTCTATGAGAGATAACAAATAGAGTAATAAGGTAAGCACTATTTAATTGAACCTTATTTCAGATATAAATGATACCATTAAAAAGAAATTAGCTTTAAATAATTAACTCATAATTAAAAAGCACCACTATGTATCTTTACCACATCATCCAAACACATACTCTCCCAACTAGTTTTTCTTTGTTCTGAGAGCATAATGCATGGATGTGAGCAATAATAAGGAAGTCCTAGTAGTTCCTATGAAAATTACTAGGTATCTGGTTTCCCATAATGGTTATAATGGTTTCCTATAATAATCTTGTTTATGATCCCTTCATAAGAAAACTGTTTTCAAGTAATTAAGGAAATTTGATTACTTAATGTTACTTAGCTTGGAACTTACAGGTTTTACCCGAGTTAAAAAATTTGGCTACAAGTAATGTGTGTCCTATGCATCAGACACTAAAATGAGTGAGCCTGGCAATCTCTCAGGAACTATTTCCATCCCATCTGAGTGAAACTTATCCTTACTTCAGCTGCGGCCAGTGATGTCACCTCCATCAGGTTCACTGCTCGGAAAGCAAACACGGCAGCTGCCAGGACTGGAAAAGAATGAACACTATTTCACCTGCCAGCCTACTCATCAGCCCGCCGCATGAAAGCTCAAAACTGGTGCTTTATACGACTGACCACGCTCTACATTTTGAGTTAAGGTCTAGTGATGAATGGAAATTCTCTACTCCACAGAACAGTTCCTGATGGATAGACAAACTGAATACCACAGTTTTGGGAAAAAGGAAAAATCAATGGTCTTTAAAAAGCCATTTTATAAATTGTTTCATTTATATCTACAACTTAAATTATAACAGTTTTAACATGGCATGAAGATCTAATGATAATGACTGGCATATAAATTCAGGTTTATTTTGATACAGATATTTCTTACTAATGCAATGGAGAGGCTGCTGAAAAGTTACACAAAGACCAAATTTTTAAATATATCAGATCACGTTTCACATGTATTAAGGACGTGTCCTGATAGAATCATGGATTTAAAACCTTTTCTTAAAAAATGTTTTTATAATATTTTGTATATTTTCATTTTTATATGCAACATTGACTTTTTTAGAATGTCACAAATGGATACATCTGTGGGGAGGGCTGCTGTGGGACTGACCCTGACATTTACAATGATGTTGGCTACAGGAAAGAGAAGTTGAAACTTTGAAAAAAACCCATTATAGAACACCTTGTAGGTTAATAATATACATTAAGTAGAAAGCAACACTTGAATTATTGTTTCCATCAAACATATGCATATCAAAAAGAGTAATGCTAACATGCAATACTTATACAATCTACCATAAAACTCCATGTGAGGGAATGAGTTATGAACAACAGAAGGACCCACGTAAGAGGCAGGTGACACTGATAAGGAGATGGTACCTGCCTGGAAATAACTCTTGATTTCTCCCTATTTTTTTCCATCATCAGTGATAGTGTATTCAATACAACGAGTCATTGAAGTTTAGTAAATTGGTAGTAAGAAATATTCAAAGTTATTTTGAAGATTGGTTCCTAGGTATACTGCATACCTACTGCAAATATACATATTTTAAAAAATACATTTTTATAATGGGAATAATGCAATCAATTCTCACACCAATTCTATGAGTTAAATACTATTATTAACCCATTTTACTAATGTAGAAAGTGAGGCACAGTTGAGTTGGGTGACATGTTCAGAGTCACACAGGTAGAAAATGGTAGAGCCGATACTCAACCCTGGCTTTGGAGCCTGTGCCTCTAACCGCTATGTGAAAACACTATTAAGGTAAGCCATAATGACTCATCCATGACGTGAAAACCTGTGTGCTTTCCTAAGAATCATCTCCTCTGCTGTTCCTCAGAATGGTTTTCCAGAGAAAGCATGAAGGATGATGTTATGGTGGTCCTGGGCTCTGACACGTGGGTAGTTGTGCCTCAGGAGTAGAAGTCAGGAGCCAGACCTCTTAATTTCCCCAGATAGAAGCAGAGTGCAACCAGTGACTCAGAAGCACAGGTACTTTTCTAGGGGATAAGGTGGCAAAAAAAACATCAGAACTAGTTAGAGAGAAAAAGTCCGGAGAGAAAAAGGATGGTAGTGGTAAAATTTAAAAAATCAAGTCAGCTGGAATTATTCAATATGTAACAAGAGATACAAGAGATCTGGGACAAAGAATTTACTCTTTAATTGAAAAGGAGAAAACGTAAGTACTTTAAAGTCATTTTAAAGTCTTGTAATTCAGGATTACGAGAATGTCATAAAACAATTCCTGTGGACCGGCAATTTTTTACAGCTTCCTAGTATCTGGAATCATATTTTGTACAGTGGAGACATTTTAGAAACTAAGGAATATAATCACTATTTCCTTTTTTGTGTATAATTGAACAGAGTCATTAGAAGCTTGACAGGCTGACCAAATACTCTGCTGTGGCAGGAAGGAGTTTTACATAGTGAGAAACTGTTTTTCCAAGGGTAGATAAGAGGGGGAAGAAAAGAGCAGTTCACTAATTGACCTCAGCATCCAAAATGCTATGTGCTCATAACCTTTATTTATCTTGGTGTCACATCACAGAAGTTCCTTTCCGTCTGCTTCATGTTTGGTTTGCCCAGCCCTTCCGCAGAACAGGTTTGTTTGCCAAGGAGAAAAGATCTATACTTTGGGATGTTTTCAACTGAAATTATGTTTCATATGAAATGTAGAAACTCTATTTTCTTTTGGTCTTTTAAACTATTCTCATTATTATAACTCTAAGCAACTCTATCAAGAACATTAAGACACTTTTGCTTTAAAATGTTCTTCAAAAGGCTCTAATTCACAATTAAAGCCAGTGATATTTACTAAAATATTTCTAAAGACTATATAATAACTCACTTGATCAAAAAAGGTGGTCCCAAAATACTCGTACCAAAAATGTATGAAATAATCAAAACTAATTTTTACACATCTAGATGAAATTATCGACCCCGTGGCTCATTATCTGAAATCCCATGGTAGGAAAGTTTCCATCAGTCCACTTCTATTTCTAGATGTTCTAGAATTTTTCCCTGTTGATTTTTAAAAAGCACTGAGTGAAAGTAAGTGGATGTAATAATGTGAATTACATTTCTACCTATTCATCAGTGAACTTTTTTATTAATATATTGAGCTCATAGTGAAGTGCCTGGCTTAAAGCAAATGCAGCATTCAGTATACATTTATTTCTCTTTTCTTTCAGTTTGCTAAAGGGCAATAAGGCATGGAATGAGAGAATTTAAATTGGAAGAGGCCTTCAAGGTTTTCTAATTCAACATTTCTTTCAAGGTACAAAAGCTCTTGACCCTTCAGGTGACGGTTAAAGAGCCCATTCTACTTTTGGAAAGGCCTAATGATTAGAAAGTACTTTCTTATATTGAGCCCCCTTCTTTAACATGCAATAATCTCTTTTAAAAATGATACCAAATGTTATATACGGTACTCTTCAAAATTTCTGGCACATTCAGAGGAGAGTTATTTGGTGGAAAGTCTAAAATCCTGTCACTTGAGAAATCATAGCAGAAAACAAGGCTACTTAGCTTAGAAAATAGAAGACTTTGGGGAGAAGTGGGAATGTGAGAGTAGAAAAAACATGATAATGACCTTGGTTTAACAGGAGTACATTTTAACAAGCCATATTACCCAGAAATGAAATGGGCCACCTGAGAAGACAGGGATCTCTTAACACTGAAGTGTTCAAACAAAGGATAAGGACTGCTTGTCAGAAATGTTTAAAATACATTGTACCTGAAGCCCTCTAGGATTCCTTCTACCTCTAGATTGTATATATCACTGCCATTCAGCCAAAAGAAATGAGGGCAGATCATTCTTTCCTAAAGCCTCATATTTGCATGGGCTTTAAAACAAAAACTGAGAGAGAAGGATACTAGGAGTTGTCAAAAACGTTAGTCAGTGATCTCTCTGATTACACTAGAGGTGACATTTATCTTCATGGTACTTCATTATTACTGTAGTTTTCCCTTTCAAAATGCCACCCAATTACTATATACCTCTCGGCATTCAAGAATAGGTTAGTATGGCACCTACAGAATCTTCATATCTTATTCTTCTTCAACTAAGCATTATTTCCACAACAGCCCCAACAGGTGATTTTACAATGCTATCCATTTAAGATAAGGAAACATTCTGCCAGCTTTCCTGATCTCCATCTATTATTGTAAAGACCTCATAATTACTATTTGAATTTCCTGATAATACCAATGATAAAAATGACTGGGTTTACTGTGCAAACAAGAAGCAAAATAATATAATTAATAAGAAATACATGCCCTGTGTATTATTATACAATTGCCTTGGGTATATATATGTTGTAAGAACTGCTTAAATGTAAAATAAGAGATGAATCTGTGGCTTCCTGAAAAAAAGATGAAATATTTTTTGGCCTGAGAGAATATCTAAAAGGGGAAACTCAGCCACCAGGGCAGAAGTCAGAGACTAGGGAAAAAAAAAAAGGAAAAATTTTAAATTCAGTGTAAACTGAAGTCTAGAAGAGCTCAGATTTCAGCTATGTGTGGATGCTCAGTTCAGTTTAGATTTTAGGTACTTGAGAAGGGGCACAGAACAGAACACTAAGGCAGTCTGAGGAGTCCAGAATAGAACGGAAGTATATCTACACTCCACTGCACAGACCTCACAGGTGCTGAGAGAATGAGCCCTGCCTGGACTAAATGAGGGGAGGGGAGGGATAGGGAGTGTAGGAGAGGGAAAATGAGCTTTCCTGGGGGCCAAGAAGAAAAACTAGGAATAGGTTGGTGTTGGGCAGTTAGACAGAAGTATCAAGATCACAGAACCTCAGTACTTGTCCTCAAAGCCAGATGAATCTATTAAAGGAACATGAATTAGAAACAACACTAACTGTAGACTCAAACTCCAATTACAGATGGTGAATGTTAGAAAGAAAAGGGGCCTTTACTATAGGAATATCATGTGTTTTACAACAAAGCATTTACTCTTACCAGCAAGAATTTCCAGAGAGTTGTATCCGAGGATTCTATCCCACAAAAGCAAGAGTTGATCTGTAGCTAAGTATCCAGAGAAAGCTCGAACCATCCACTTAAATGATATGCGAAGTCTGTAAGCAAAGAAGAACGAAAATTAATTTATCGCTGGATTAATTTATTAATTATTTTTTAAAAATTAATTATTAATTAATTGATTAATTGATTTTTCTTATGAAAAAGCAGTATCAGAAGAGCCTAACCAATTCTATTGTTAAGGTAGCTCCTTTGGGAGTCTTAGAAATCACCTGGACATACAAAACTCAAAAACTTTCTTAAAAGCTGCAAAAGTGCAGTGGTAAGAAACCGTGAGTCCTCAAATTAGTGGTCTTAAAGTATTAGGAAGAATTATATATACTGGGCTCTCCTTTATGTTAGAGTTTAGCCTTTATAATACCCATTTCTACATTCTGTTTTTCAGAGTATGTACTAATTAGCTATCAATGAACTGATCTTCTAATAGTCTTAACAATTCCAGGCAAGCCATAATAATTTGAATTTTTATTCAAAATACTTGAAAGAATGTTCAACAGCTTCATATTTTTTCAATTTAATAAATTATTTTTCTACATTTCAGTCAAATGGCTACATAGGACAAATAAAATTAATATAACTAGTAGGAGTTTTGAAGGACAAAGAAAAATAGCTTTAAAGCTACGAGATCTTAGAAATAGATTTCTGATTTCAAACCCTTCATTTTAGTGAGGAGTTCATCGAGCTCTGAAAGGTCAACTAGAAAATTCAATTGAATTCCATTTTACAAAAAAAAAAAAAAAAAACAAACCCCAAACTCTAAGATGTGTGAGATCCCACTATTTATAAGTAGATTATGTTACAATAATAATTTATCTTTAAAATTGGGAAATGAACTTTTTGGCTCTGGTTCCTTAAGAGATAAACTAGTCCCTCCATTTCTGTTTTATCTATTAGCATCTAAAAACCCTTTGACTATCTGTGAGAGGAGCTAGTCAAACACTTTGCTGGAATTGTTATTATGTTGATAAATAGCTGTGCTATTTATTCTCTTAAAGAGAAAAACAGACTCAGAGATTTCCTTAGTGTCATTGTATTAATTGTCTTAAGACTGAAAAAGATCCCCAAGTTTCAGAAATTCCTAAATACTGGATCACTATTGTTTTAATATAACAAAATACATGTAAGCAGTAGTATTGACAAATTAAGCTTTTTTGGTTGGCTTTAGAATATCTCTTTATAGATGCAAAAGAAACTTTTGGCATTGAATATGTGAACTAAAATAAAATTTTAAGGCTCACCCCCCCACCGGCTGACTAAACGGACCCCCTCCTGGCCAAAGGAATACCCTAAAACTAAATTGCCTGCCAGGAGGAAGGAGGTCAGACATGCCTTATCATGCTCCCCTCCCTTCTTGGTGACATCCTTTATAACCCACTAACAGGCCCAAGGGTATGCAAGACAGACCTGCAGGTCCTCAATTTACACAACAAATCTATGTCCAGTGGCTTATCTCTGATAAAGAGCTCCTTATGTTAAAACATGCCAAGCCTCTAGACAAAGCTTCATGTCTTTAACCAATTACAGGCCAAAGAATCTTTTAACCCACCTATAACCTGTAAGCCCCCGCTTCGAGATGGCCCACCTTTTCGGGCCAAACCAATGTATGTCTCCCACGTATTGATTTATGACTTCACCTGTAACCCCTGTCTCCCTAAAATGTATAAAACCAAACTGTAACCCAACCTCTGCGAGTCCACTTGCTCAAGGCCTCTTGGGCGTGGCTCCGGGTCATGGTCCTCAAATTTGGCTCAGAGTAAATCTCTTTAAAATTACTTTACAGAGTTTGGTCTTTTTTTCCGTTGACAAATATTTTAATACTTAAAAATGCATTTGACTCATAGTGTCACGTTAGAGGAATAGTACTATATATCCCCATCCCCAGATATATAAATAGTACAGCATCAGTTTTTAGAAATAAGTTTATTAAGGTATAATATACTATGTATACAGTAGTGCTCCCCTTATCTGCGGTTTTGCGTTCTGCAATTTCAGTTACCCATCAGTCAACTACGGTCTAAAAATATTAAATGAAAAATTCCAGAAATAAACAATTCATAAGTTTTAAATTGTGTGCTGCTCTGAGGAACATGAGGAAATCTTGCACGGTCCCCACCCTGGACACGAATCACCCTTCTGTCCAATGTATCCATGCTGTAAATGCTGCCTGCCTGTTAGTCACTTAGTGGCCACACAGGTTATCAGATTGACTGCCTTGGTATTGCAGTGCTTGTGTTCAAGTAACCTTTATTTTATCTAATAATGGCCCCAAACTGCAAGAGCAGTGATGCTGGCATATTGTTATAACCGTTCTATTTTATTATGTTATTGTTGTAAATCTCTTACTGTGTCTAATTTACAAATTAAATTTTATCTTAGGTATGTATATACAGGAAAAAACGTAGTATATATAGGGTTTGGTCCTATCCATGGCTTCAGGAACCCACTAGGGATCTTGGAACATATTCCCCACAGATAAGGGGGAGTAGAGTAGAATTTACCCTCATTAGTGTATAATTCTGTGAATTTTATATGAAGAAAAATCAATTGGAAATTATAGAACTGAAAAATAAAATAACCAAAGAACCACAAACCCCACAAAAATCCCTCATTAGATGGATCCAATAGGAAAATGGAAATTCCGGAGGAGAAGGCCAGTGAAGTTGAGAATAGATCAATAGAAAATGTCCACTCTGGACCATAAAGGAAATAAACATTAGAAAAAATATGAACAAAGCTCCAAGGACCTGTGGGACAATACCAAAAGTTTTTTTCCTTTTTCTTTTACACCAAAAGTTTTAACATTTGTATCACTGGAATCCCAGAAGAAAAGAAAAATGAGTAAGGTGCAGAAAAAATATCTGAAGGAATGACAGATGAAAATTTCCCAAATTTGGCAAAAGATATAAACTTATAGATTCAAAAAGCTTAGCAAATCCTAAACAGGATAAACTCAAAGAAATCCATGTCTAGATACATCATAATCAAATTGCGGAGAACTAAAAACAAAGATCTTTATAGCAATCAGGGAAAAATTGATATTATTTCTTCCTGAAATGCTTGGTAGAATTTGCCAGTGAAGGCATCTAGGCCTGAAGTTTATTTGTAGGTAGAAAGTGATTAATTAAAGATGTATATTGTAAACTCTCTGGTACCTACCAAAAACATATTTAAAAAAAGTATAAATAATAATCGAATAGTGGACATAAAATGGAATAAAAAATGTTCAATTCAATTCAGTCAGAGAAAGAGAAAAAAGGAATAAAGAGAACATGGTACAAACAAAAAATTCTAGTAAGATAGATTTCAATCCAATAATACTAATATACATTAGAGATAAATGGTATAAACATATAAACACCAATTTAAAAAGACTTCCACGATAGAAGACTCAACTATACCTTTGACAAGAAATCCACTTGAAAAACAAAGACATTGATAATCGATATGTTAAAAGTAACAGAATAAAAATTATAATAAAAAGAAAGGTGAAATAGCTATATTAATATCAGACATAGTAGATTTATTACCAGGAATAAAGAAGGACGTTAGACAATAATAAAGGGCTCGATTCTCCTAAAAACAAAGCTTCAAATACATAAAGTAAAAATATATATAGCAATGAAGGAAGAAACAGACAAAATCCACAATTATAATTAGACACTCTAACACTTCTCTCTCAAAAATCAATAGAAAAAGTAGACAAAAAATAAATGTATAGAAGGTTTGAAAAACATTATCAACAAACTTGACTTCATAAAGATTTATAGGACATTCTGCCCAACATTTGAAAAATACAAAGTCTTTTTAAGTGTACAAGAAACATTCACCAAGATAGATCATATTCTGGGTCAAAAAAAACCTCGACAAATTTAAAACAACTGAAATCATATGAAGCATGTTGTCTAACTGAAATGGAATTAAAATGTAAGTTAATAATAGAAAGATATATCTTTCTAAATATTTAGAAATTAAACACACTTTTATATAACCCATGTTCAAAGAGGAAATCACAAGAGAAATTATAAAATATTTTGAATTGAATGAAAACAAAAAGATAACATGTTAAAATTTGTTGGATGGAAGTAAAGGAGTACTTTGAGAGAAATTTGTAACATCAATGCTTATATTAAAAAAAAGAAGAAAGCTCCTAAATTAATGATCTAAATTCCACACTAAATGAGTAGAAAGACAAGAATAAAATAAACCTAAAGCATGCAAAAAAAAAAAAAAAAAGGAAATAATATATACTGGGGCAGAAATCAATGAAATTGAAATACAAAAACAACAAAGAAAAATCAAAACTGGTTTTTTCAGAGATTAATAAAATTGATAAAACTCTAGCTAGAATAATCAAGAAAAAGAGAAAGAGAATACAAATACTAATCGCAGGAATGAGAGAGGTGATGTTACTACTAATCTTATAAATGTTAAAAAGCTAATTAAGAATAATTAGGAAATGCTATGAATAACTTTATGTCCATAAATATGATAACTTAGATAAAATGCATAAAATACTGAAGCTCATTCAAGAAGAAATAGATAACCTGACTAGTGCTATATTTATTAAAGAAATTAAATTCAAAATTAAAAAGCTTCCACAAGCCTTTTAAAAATTGATTTCTATGTTGACAACTGGAATTTTTATACTTTCTCCTGCATAAGAATTTTCTTGTTTATCATAAATCGTTAAAATTAATTAATTCCTTTTAATGAATAAAGTATATAATAGGCTAGAAAAAAAATCAAAATTTTAGTTTCTAGCAATGAAGTCAATATCTTCCTCCTAATAAAGAAAAGCCTAGTGATACTCCAATGTTCATTCCACAATAGCCAAAAAGAGGTCAATTCACAAGTTAAGAAAAAAAATCTTGTCCTCAATATAAAATATTTCTGCTACATTCTTGTTTTATAATCTTAATCATGAACAGAATTTTGTTTTTAAATGGCTAAAAAGAAAACAGTGTAACAGAGGGAACAGCCAGAAAAAGGGTAAACCCCACCCTCCCAACTCTTCTTGAGAATTAAAACCTGCATTCCTGCCTGAGGTCAATGATCAGAGGGGTAGGGGAGTTTCCTTTGTTCTTTGTAATACAGGAGATGGCTCAAGGGAATTGTCTGGGCAGAGTTCAAGAGATTGTCTGTAAAGGAGATGGGGTGGATCAGGACCATCAACTATAGTTAAACAGCAATAGCCCCAAGCTAAAAACTCCTTTTAAAAGCTCTGTATTTCTGCTTATAGAGAAGACTATGGTACTTTGAGACTCAAGTCTGCCATCTTCCTCATTTGCCGGCAAATTAATAAATTTCTTTTTTCCTCAAACCACTTGTCCTCATTCTTCTGATGTGGCCTCGGAGACAAGTGCCAAACTTTTGGTAACAAGAACATCAGTTCAGTATTATCAATGGATGATACGAAGTATTGTTTCATACAGGACATTTCTAAAACATCTGAAATTCAATGGTACTTTATAAAAAGGAGATATCTCTCTATATATAATCATTTGATCTTGAAACGACTCCATGAGGTATGAATTCTATTGATTTTTAAGATAAAGAAATTGAATTACCTTGATTTAAAAATAAAGAAATGGAGGCTTAGATAAATTAAATAATTTTGCAAGGATTATGCAGCTTAACAGAAATGAAATTTGAATCTGGGTTATATTTCCACTGACTCAACCATCCATCTGCTATGGATGCATGTGTGGAAAAGACAAATACTACACTATTCTATTTCCCATTAATTCCTTTTGTGGCCTCAAAAAGTTCATGTTCTTTTCATATGCTCTCCTTAATAGGAAAAAATAGTTACAGAGGAGAAGGCAGGAACAAAACACTGGTAGATCATTTAGAAATTCTGTTGCTATAGACATTGTTAGTTAAAAAGAGAAATAGAACCAATAATATTGAAGTCCAGACCCATTCTACATATTCGTCTATAACTCATACTGAGATCAATTGAAAGACAGGAATTGATACTAGGAGAATGTTTTGTGTGGAACAAATTGTCTGAGATTAGAAAAATGTGTTCTCGTTGATTCTAACTGATGCCATTTGCTTCTGTAACCGTGCTTGCTTTTAGTTGTTTGTTAAATATAGGAGTAAGAGCAGGAGTGACTTCATGACAAGCTGAATTTCCTGGAATAGGCCTAAGTTTCAGTTTCCCCGAAACCGAAACGCGGACCACAACTGGTGCCGGCGCGAAAATTGAAAATCCCGGGGCTTGGAGCCAACCAATCAGGAGTTAAAACAATCAGCTACTTTCAAAAGAACCAATGGACTAAGGGGGGAGGGGGGAATGGTGTGCCCAGCGTGTCGTGTGGAACCTGTGTGTCGTGTGCCACCGGTGTGTCGTGTGCAAAAGAAAGTATAAAAGCTTCACTTTTACCCCAGGGCGGGGTCCTGGTTCATAGGGAGGCCACTGCGTTGGTGCTCTGGGACTTGGACCCTAGCTCGAGCTAGCCAATAAACTCCTTTGCCATTTGCAGCCTCGGTGACTCTGCCTCTCTGTTCCTGGGGCCGAGGGGAACTGGCTCTAACACAATGAATAAAATTCAAACTTTAGGAAGGAAGAATCACAGTGTACAACCATTGATAGATAATTGAGCTGGTTTCTTTTAATAAAAGGCAGCAAACTTTACAGTTTTCAAAGGCAGTTCTCTGATAGATTTGGCCTATGCCGACTTAATTTTAGTGTTATCATATTTTTCAGGTACTATTTTTGTTTACACAAATATTTGCCTTGGTTTGGGCTAACATCTTTCATTATCAATAGAAATTAGTTCATTCTGGTGATTCTTGTACCAGACACAAAAATCCTAGTAAATAAGACTTCATTAGGATTTTGGTAATTCTTTTAAGAATTTTGGGCACAATGTTGTTACAATTTACTATTTTCTAATTATTGTTTTATTGGGGAAAATGTTAGCTTAATTTCTCTGAATAATTACTACATCTACGCAAGTGTTTTACAATGATAAATAAAGAGCTTTATGACGTGAAACTGTTCTTCAATTAGAAAAAACATACTTACGGTTGTGCCCCAATTTCTCGTAGATGATAAAAGAGCTGGGGAAGATAAGTTTGAAGAAGAGTTTCAAACAGCAAACAGAGTGACACAATACCCTGGATACATAATGAATCATAAGAGAAATAGTTATTTTAGTATTTAACTATGACAGTAAATTATTCAAATAGAAAATGAGAAACACTATCAACATAAATATTCTTCATATTATTTAAGAGTCGAAAACAGGAACTGTACCAATGGATCTCTAACATTGTGTTTAAAGATCTATTTTGTCGCTCTTTATACATACTCACACTTACAGATATGCTAAAGGTCTCTTTTTTACCACAATAGGCTCCCCACATAACCTAGTATGTAACATTCGGAGAGTCCAAAGAAAACATCACTTTACAGAAAACCTCCTACTTTGCAAGCCACATATTATCATTTAGGCCCAGCAAAATTAGTTTTTCCAGTTTCCAGGTATTTCCCTAGTGCTATAGCCACACCCTTTACTCTCTCTCAATTTATGTTCCTTCCCCTCCAGCCTCTGTTCATTGGGGAAAATATTTCCTGCTTTTCTCGCCCTTTCTTTGAAATCTACCCCCAGGAAAAGACTGGCTGCTTAAAATTTACATCAGGAAGTTATCAAACAAAATGTTTGATTACTTAGTGTACACATAATTTTTTTTTATTGAAATCTACTTTTTAAAAAGTACATTATCTGTAAAGCACAAGAAGTAACTGATTTGAACAGAGGGTTTTTCAAGTACGTTTATTATTTGACAACTCTGAATAAAGTCTTTCTTGCAGCTCAGCATTCCTCAGGGTTGATCTTTGTAAGGAAGTTTTAATCCTCTTTTTGAATTTCTAAAGAAAAAAGGTTGTCAGGGTTCCAAACAGTTCAGTCTGGCTGTAAGCCAAAAAAGGAGATGACTGCCTGTAAGTCTTTGTTCCACTGAATAAAGAAAGGGCTGAGGCAGGCCTGGTTCAATCAACTAGCTGAAAAAGGACACCTCAGGGCCGGTATGGAGGGAGAGAAGGAATACCCAGAGCTGCCCAGCGTCAGGCTTCAGTGCTCTGCGCAGGGAGAACACCACTAGTGTGTACTGTGCAACCAGTTTTTTAAACTCTGAAGCATAAAAATGGTATGGAATGTAAGAGTAAAAAATCTGATGCTAGGAATGAGATACTAGAAAATTATTAATACTAATTGTTATTAATATTTCTGATGATTCTAGATTAAACATTAAGAACTAAAGCGAATTCTCCTAGCGATAAGAAACCTGAGATAATTGGTGGTGCTTTGCTTATCTGTGACATCCTGGAACTCTGTTCTTTGCCAACTTTCACTAGCAATGTAAAAGAATAAAACTGGAGATGGAGGAAGGTGGAATAGGAACACACAGGTTGAAACTGGAGGGATAAAGAACAGCTATTTATTATAATTTAGTAGCAGTAACACAGTTTCTCCTTTAGGGAAATTTGGTAGCCCCAACATACATTCCAATTGAATATTTCTTCTGGAGAGGCAGTAAAGTTACCCACAAGTAGACCAAAGCAGGTCCAAAGGGGTGAAAAAAGCACTGAAATAAAATAAGCACTGTTTTTACTCAAGCGTATGGAAGGAAAAAAAAGATACGATGAAGAAGTGGCCAAAATAAAACAGATAAAAATGCTTAACTCCCAATATGCTTTTCCTTGACTCATACTCAGGGCAAAGGAGGTTTGTATTGAATATATATTAATACAAAGAAAATATCTAGTATGATAAATGATAATTAACCAAATATGAAATTGACAAACAAGTGACAAATGTTTGATTTTCATTAACAAAGAAAGATGATGACGATAATTATAACAACAGCCATTTATTTACCAAACACCTGCTACGAGCTAACTGCTAACTACACTGAGTGTTTTGTAGACATCTCTATGGCACTACAGACGATACACATTATTAACTTCATTTCATAGATAAAAAACCAGGAAAGAAGGTAGAGGCACCTTTGTCAAGGATAATAATACATTCTATGTTTTTCTTTTACTATATAAAAGATAATTTCAGTGTAGTCTATATGAGACTTTTTCCTCTCTAATTATTACCCAAAATATTTAAATATCAATTCGTCTTCTATTTATGCTATAAAAAAGAAAACATGTTGCTTAACATCACAAATTAAAATTTGTTGCTTTGTAATTTGAGTAGAAGACTTTTTCTTAAAGAAAAAAAGAACAGTTTAGAGTCTGATTTGATTCATTTTTTTATGAACTTACAGAAGGATGAGAAGAAATGGAATGAAGTCTGAAGAAAAAACGCACATACATCTCACGGAATATCTGATACAATTTGGAAGGTTCATGGTATAGAAAACAAAGTGGTGCAACTGAAAGAAAAAAATTAATTGATAATACTGCAGAACTACTAGACATTTTTAAATAAATTCATGAAATATAAAAGAATACATCGATATTTTATAGTAATTACATTCATTCATAGACAAGTTTAAAATCATATCTACTTTTTCATTTTGAAAGGGGGATATATGTACATGTAAAATTCAAACAGCCATTAAATATTATAAAGAAAGGAGTATATTACAAACTATTGTAATCCCCACTAAACAGCTAAGCATGACATGATGGAATTATATGGAAATATTAAAAATTCAGAGTAACCTATAAAAACTACATACAGTCAAGTCTCTCTTTTTTAACTGAAGTAGTAAGAAAGTGAAATTAGGCAACTCATTTTTACTTTGTCCCACAAAGGATTCAGGCCACTTTTCAAAATTTTTAATTTTGGAAGTCAGGTAAGTAAAATGTAAAGTGATTTATGACTAACTTTTAGAATTATAGTCTTCAATTAGTTCAAATTAATTCAATTTGAAACTAAAACTTTTGAGTAATAGCTTCACACTATTCATCTATATTGGCTTATCTCCATATATACCAGACAGTTTTCATTGACTTAAAACAATCTAGGCAGAGGATTTAGTTCTCTAATGAATGTAGAATTAAGTTCTCTTTTGCCCCCAGTTCTTAGCAATTAAGCACTGGTGGGTCAACTCAACCAGATATCCCACAGCTGGACATCAGAAAGCCCTAGTCTTGGAGACCGAACTGACCACGTGATTATTTTACACTGACAAGCGTGGCCACGCTTTCCGTCTTTTCAAGCCTCAAGAATTTTAGGCAGTATAAACACATTTATAATGCAGATACATAAAACTACATTACCTAGCTATTAATTTTAATAAAAATGCCTCACTTACAAGGTAATTTCAAACAATATAAATTGGACAAATAAAAAGTTCTGAGGTTCTATAATCTGTCGATAATGCTCTGAGAGCAATAGGTATTAAGTGAGAAGGGAAACCAGTAAGCCAATTTACCACTCTTCTTTTTGAAAAAGTGGAAGGAAAAACACTAAAATATTTTAAATGCTTACAAACACAAAAGTTCAATTTTTGGGGATAAAGGGCAGTGTCCAGCATTACTGATGAGTAAGTCACTGAAGACAAGCATCTCAAGTGAGAAATTTACTTTTTCTAAAGGGCAAGAGAAAAAGTCACTTTTCGGAGGTAAATATCTAAATACATATAAAAATAACTACTTTTATAAATGTGTAAAAAATTTATATATTGTATATAAACATTTAAAAACAGACATGTCCTTCCACTTCAAAACTAATTTTTAAAACTTATTTTATTGTCAAAAAAATTGCTACTTATTAAAGTAGCCCAAATTAGGGTGTTCCGTATATTTAAAAATAATAACTCATGGTCTAAATTGTAATAACAATCTAAGAAAAGGCAATGTGGTACAAATATATGGTATTATTATAAATTCAAAGTGAAGGTTGGAATTTATATCCTTTTAAAAAATGACATGTATGTTTTCCCTAATTTTTAAAGCTACTGATATGTAAAAACCTGTAATCTGATTCAGATTCATAAAATCTGAATGGGAAAAAATCTGAAAACGGGATTCATAAAACCCCATTTCTTCCAGTGAAGAAATCAAGAGAAAATTTTAAAATAAGTACTTTTCTACAAACATATGAAATACAAAAGACTTTATAATTAGTTATTCTTCGAGATACCACATTTATGTTAAATTCCCTTGTGTAGCTACGAGATGGAAAAGCTTTAGTCCATTACATACAATATGGAAAAAACATTCTACATGACTTAATTTTTAATTTTAAGCATCTTTCCCTATTTGGTTCTTCCATAAAAATAAATTTAGCTCATAATATTTTTAACCAATTAAACATTATACTCTAGGAATTTATTTATGAAGTCATAATATACTATAAACCTACAACAAAACTTCCTTAATCTGCATAAATGTGAGTGCAGAAGGCATTTTTAAATTAGAGAAAAATTCTGAACCAGTTTTCAAAAGAGATAAGTATTATAATTTTAAAGAAATATAGTAATTAAAGCTGAAGTGGCAACCTCAGGGACGATTTGTGATTATTCTAGTGTACTGGTTCTAGACAAGTGGTTGCTGGTAAAGTATATGTAGATGCTTAAAATAGTTTTCTAAAACAGTATAAGTAAACTCTGTATCAAATATTTTGCGTCATTGTTAACAAATGTTTTCCCCTTGGGTGCATAAACCTTAGCGTATTTAAATGACCATAAATGTGAACAGGCAGAGGCTGAGTCAGTGATGTATTTTCGACACTGAGAATCGTTAGAAGATTTAGACTTTCATGACATCAAGTATCCTCCAACTCATTCAAGTACAAATTCTAAAAACTGTTGACTTGAGAAATTTTTATAGTTGGAATTATTAAAGTAGAAGGATAAAACGGCAAACATTTTTATTATTAGAGGTAAAAATTTACATTCTTAATCTTTTACGGTTTTCTATTTTAAGTTCCTCACATGTTTACAAGAGAAATATGCTGTCAGGTCACTACAGCATTATGTATTATGTTATGAAATTTTGGTTGTTTAAGAGAAGAAAGTACCCTATAATTCAAGCCTGTGATCAACACCATAAAGATAGCACAAAGTCCCTAGGTGCTTTGAATTCTTTCCATTGTATGCTAGTTTTAAAAGTTTTATATTATGTCATTCACCAGGACTGTCTGATGTTGAACGCTGAGGTGATTTTTACAAAGAAAAGTGTTAATTTATTGCTGATCCTGTTACAAAGGCAAAACATTAATGTATTTCTTTTTATTCTCAAGGTAGAGGGTAGAAATAAAGGGGACAACAATCCTAAGTGTATGTGTAATACATAAAAATTTAAAAATTAAGTGGCATGAAGGTATAGAGTGTCCTTCCTCTTGGTAATCTTCGCTAAGCTTCTTGCATTCCTCATTCAATGACACGTGGGGCCCAAAAGGCACTGGGAGCTGTCAAGCCTGCACACGCGCCTTCCACGTGCAAGTACCACAGGATGACCGAATGCTCTAACGTAATTGTTGCTGTGCATACCAGTAGCCTGGAGAAATCATGAGCTCAAACTCGGTGTTGTCGCTTCCATAGGATTCTTTCTGATGTATTATTTTTTAAAAAGACTCTTATGAGAATCAGGAATCAGAAATGTAAGCAACCTGATTTTATACCTATTAGAGCTAAACATTAATCTAGTTTCCACTGGATTGAAAAATGGTAAAGCACAGAACCACATTCACAGCATGTTCTAATTCATCAAGAAATCATCATTTAACCAATTATAATGACCTTTTAGTTTTAATTTTTTTAAATGGACATATAAAACAATATAAAAGTCGATGTTTAAAAATGTTCACAGTAACTTGTGGGTGATTTGACATAAAGTATAATTTTTATGTTTAAGTTTCTAAAGTGTATTAAAAACCTATGGAGGGCTAGTATGCATTTTACTTTATTTTTTCTTTTATTATCTTACTATGTGAAAACAACTATAGCTGTCAGTTATTTTTTTTTAAATTGACAGATAACACTGTATGTTTTTATTGTGTATAACATAATGATTTTAGAGCCCAACTTACCATACATTGAAAATCCATGAAAAGGGATAACACCTAAAAAATAAAAAAGCATTTATTTTCAATAAGTAATAGTATGGATTATTAGTAGTATTACTGATTATTAGGAAAACTTTAAAGGATTAAAAATAAAAATAGAAAGGCTTTCTATTTTTTGCTTCAACTTTGTTCATGAATGTCAGAAAGACTTAGTGATAAAAATAAATATTTTAATACCTTCAGAAAAGCAAATAAGAGGCTTTCAAACATATATCCAGTTAACTTTCTATTGATAATAATGAAAAATCAAAACTTTGAATATATGTATACAAAAACAGGACAAAAACATAATAAGATAGGTCACAGAATTAAGTTTAAGAGTTATAATGGCCTTAGAAAGTCAAATAGAATATGTCCCTCCTAAAACAACTTCACTCTGTCTATTAGAATCTAATCTGTTAAAAGATAAGTGAGCTTTTCAAGGCACTTCTTGAAAACATCACTTTCCAGAAAACACCACAGGTGTTTACTAAACTTACTAAAAATTAATCATGGGACATGGCTTAGAAGAAATATTGGCAGGAATACAGTACAAATTCAGCATAATCTTTGGCAAGAATTATATATAAGTAAAGTATATATCCTTTTCAAAGAAATACTCAAAGATTAACTTGGTGTATTAAACATCTTGTTACATTCTAAGTAAAAATTAGAATTTGTACAGGTTAGGTTCAAAACACAAGTTCTATAATATATACCATTATATAGTCAACACTGTACAAAATCATGTTGCAAACAGCATAGACGAAAGCTGAGTTTACTTTTCTGAAACATAGGATAGAAATGCTTTATTCATCTGATATGTTTGGAGGTAAAACTTAGTGTTGGCAGGGACTGTAAGAGGTCATCTAGAGTAAGTTCTAATAAACAATTAGTTCAGTCTTAGTTTAAAACACATCCAGCAATAGGGGATGCATTCATGTCCAAAGCTAACAATTACAATTTTGAATGGGTTTAATTTTGGAAGAGTTATTTCTCATACTGACTCAAACTCTGGCTCCCTGTAATCCCTACTTATTAGTCCCAGTTCCAATCACAAAGGTCATATAGAACAAGTCTAATTTATCTCCTATTCATATATAAAAACTTAAAGAAATACCACCATCAGGATTTTTTGCTTCAAGACTTTATACATTTCTTTAATTTTTCCCCAGATGAAGTAGTCTTGAATAGCTTCCCTATTTCATTTTCCTCTGGACAAGCTACAGTTCACCACAGTCCTTAAAGTGAGGTGACTAAAACCTCTAAGCATTTTTCTTCTCTACACGCCCCACAGCTTAGATAGTGCACTTGAGCAGTTGTTTCTGGACCTAAGTAAAGGATTATATTTTTATCTCCATTACATTTCTTCTTTGGTGATCCATTCCAATTGGAGATAATCCTGGATTCTCTTTCTCTTATCTAATGTATTACCTATTCTTCCTGGTCCCGCGTTACTGAAAATTTTGATAAGTATACTCTCTATGTCCTCACCTAAAGCAATATAAAAATGCTCACCAAGACAGAGGACAGGAATTGTTACTGGAGACCTCCTTCCACACTGATATCAATTTATTAATCAGCACCCTATTGCGATAGGTTAAGAGCATGGACTGGGTGTCAGACAGATTTGGTTGGGTTCATCTGGCTCTGTCACTTTTAAGAGCTTTGTGTGCCTTTGGGTAAGTTTTTTAACTTCTCTAAGCTTTAGTTTCCTCATCTGTAAATTGGAGATAATGCTAGAACTTATATAATATCATTAATGAGATAACGGTTATACCATAGGATATTTACTATTAATAAATGTTAATTATTATTATCATTCACAAATTAGTTCATATTTCTTTGTTGTTTCTAGAAGCAAAGTTATAAAAAATAGTATGAGGAAAATCAATCACTATTCTGAACTGGTATGCCAGGCAAATCATCTTCAGAATTTTGTGCAGCAGAGCTTCACAAGCTATAATTCTCAGGATCACCCTTTTCCCTAGTCTTCTAGCACAGATTCATGCTGTGCAACTTTGGCTGAATCTTGTGTTGTTTATCAATTTTCTTATTCCTCTCGATTTGATTAGCCATTCTGTTCTTTCAAAACTTTCCTGCCCTTCAGGTGTTTAACACTTGCTTGCAGACCTCGCTTCGCCTTCACTAGGAGGCTGATGCCACTGACATGAACCCTCTCATTTGCTTGTTCTTTACATTTCACCTGTTTTCTCACTGGCAGTCTCAAAGGAAGACAGATCCCTTTTCTTTTTCATCCAACATCTTCACCTGTGCTCTAAATCCTGTTTCCTTCACTTTCACAGTGGTTGGCAAGCCATAGGTCTGCGGCTTAATTGCTGCCTGTGAGCTAAGAATGGCTTTTACATTTTTAAAGGATTATTTACAAAGACAACAAAGAATAATATGAGACAGGGATTGTTAGTGTCCAGCAAAACTTAAAATATTTACCTTCTGGCCGGTTACACGGAAAGTTTGCCACCCCTGCTTTGGGACCCTGCCCTGTGAATGATCCCCTCCACCTGCTTTGTGTGCACCCTGCAGCAAATGCATGCTGAGCCTCTACCCTCTGCCAGACACTCTTCTAAAAGAGGGAGCTGCCTCTTTATTAGGGCAAAAAAATCACAGTAAAAACAAGTGAATATATTTCAGATAGTGGTAAGTGCTACAAAGAAAAATAACAACGAGAAGGAGCATGGGGAGGACAAGGCTTGAGGAGGGCGGAGTAGGCCTCACTGACCAAAGAGCCATCGAAGCACAGATGGGAGAGTCGCCTGAGAAGGGTGACGTGGAAGCCCTGGGCTTCACACAGTGACTGTCAGAAACAGGGCGAGTTTACTGCGCACAGCTGGTCTTAAGGTGGATAGTGGCAGGACACAGGCAAGGGGTGGGTAAGTCTTATGACAGCTTCTCCTATTTCACTGCATCCTTTCAGCCAAGGAAAGTATAAATATCCTCACATATCACAGTAATAGTAAAAATAATAATAATAATAAAAAGTCCATTTTATTCCCGGCACTACTTTCCTGTCAAACCTCTAATCTCTCTTTTTCTCAAAGCCAAGCTTAGTTTGTTTTTTTTTTAACTGTCTACATTCATTCCCTTTACTTCTTCATTATATACCCTCAAATGCTTGCAAACTATTTTTCATCCCTATGACCCTGACTTCTGGCTGCTAAATCCAGGGTCTCCTCTCTTTGTGTGCTGTACTTAACGGACTCACAGCAACTGAAGGCTCCTTCTCAAACTCGTGCTGACCAGGCACTGATGACACTATGCAGATCAGGTTCCTTGTCTCTGAGAAACTTCTGTTGTTCAGTTTTTTAAGTTTGTTCTGTTTCTGTCTGGTTCTCTCTTCTGGCCACTCCTTAAATATAGCTGCCCTCCAAAACTCTGCCATACTTGTTTTCTCTCTCCCTCTACCAGTATTCTCATTATTAACCCATAATCCCAATTATAAAAGCCCAGTATCCTGAGTCTCCTTCTGGACTCCCTATTGCTGTAAATGACTCATCGCCTTCTTAGTCATTCAGACAAGAAGTCATATTTGCTCTCTAGTTCTCCCTCAGTCCTTCCACCTAAATGTGATTACGTCCCTTTCCTGTCCCTTTTGTATAATGACTACTTAACTCTTCGATCTTCATTCCTCCTCTCTACCCCACAAGCACAATTCTAATCCTGCCAAATTCATTGCTACCCCTTCGGCCTCAGGGCATAGGCAAGGCTCTCCTCTACCTCCAGCCCAGTCCCTGCCCCACACTTCCAACATTTTTAACAGCACTCCTCCTAGGAAGGTCTCCCCAACAGCCCCGACCTCCCCACCCCCAAGCAATTCCTCAATCAGTACTCTCTATCAGCTGACTTGCCCTGATTGAGGTACTCCTTCTCTGTGTGCCTAGACAAATTGCGCAATTCTGGCTCTGCCACTTTTTACCTGTGTACACTTAGGTAGGTTACTTAACCTGTTTCCTCATCCAAAACTGCTCTTAGACTTAGGCAGGAAGGCTTGAGCTGAGGGCCCTGCTCTGGCCCTCCTCTGGCTGTACCCCTTACCACAACCCATGCCTCTCCTTTCAGACCACACCCTAGCTACCCAGGACCCTGAAATTCTCAGCCCAAAGGCTCCTAAGCGAGCTTCCAGGCCCTGCAAGTTCTCTTTGGTGGAACCCCCTCCTGATAGGCAGTTGGAGATTTTAGTCAGAAAGGAAGCCCTTATTACTGTTGTTTTCATCTTCTACAAACTTTTATTAGGATCTGCTAAGTGGAGGAACACCCCATTCAGGACAAGGCACTTTTAATAAGGAAGCTTACAATGAATGACTGAGTGAACTGCCAAGCAGCAAAAAGAGATTCAAGGATTAAGAGGCCTCACGTTCATCACACTTTTACTACATTTCTCCCAAGTTCTGAAATCTATAGCTGCTTTCTAAGTAGCTAGGTGACAAGCTATTTGAAGCAAGGACCACATTTCATACTGTGTATTAACTTCAGCACCCAGCACGGTATCTTCTACAAGTGATAGAAATCAATATATGTTATTTAATGATGGAAATTAGAGGATTTATAAATATAATCAAGCCTTGTAAACAAAATATTAAAGTATAAAATTCATTTATGAATAAGTAATTAAGATACAGGATAGGAGGCTCTCAGTAACTCAATGTTGAATGAATAAATGACCAGTGAAGTCATACAGACATGAATTCGAATCCTGTGTGACTCTGGGCATGTTACCAACCCTCACTGAATCTCTATTTTCATTTCTGAAAACAGATAAACAAGATCAACTTCACTGGGTTGTACTAAAACATGAACGAGTTGATGTACTTAAAGTGCACCGGTACAGTGTTTAGAGCACAGCAGATGCTCAACAACCTGCAGCAATTTTATGCTCGCAGGAGGGGAGTACCACATTTAAGAATCAGTTTAAACCTGAGAAAATCTTTTTTTATCAGTACTAGATAAGTGTACACTTCATCTTAGCCAAGATTAGCCAGAGATTATGGCTCCAAAAAAGG